CAGACCCAGCTGACCTTTTCCATCTGTCTCAAATCGAAAGTCTCCCTGTGACCTGTATTGAAGTTAGAAGAGAGACAGGCAGGGATTCCACACTGGCGAGGGTCTATGATTTAACAGTGAAGGGGTGGCCACAGAAGGATGATGTACACTTACCTGAGTACGCAAACCGTAGAGATCAGCTGTCCGTGTGTCAAGGCTGTGTCATGTGGGGCGCTAGGGTCATCATACCTCCTAAGCTTCGTTCCAGAGTGCTTGAATCTCTTCATGGAGGGCATTTAGGCGTAGTTAAAATGAAGAGCTTGGCCAGAAGCTACATCTGGTGGCCTGGCATTGATCGTGAAATAGAGGACATCGCTAAGTCATGTCCAGGATGTCAACAAACACAACGCCAGCCGCAAGTAGCTCCCCTACACACCTGGGAGTGGCCCAAGACAGTGTGGCAACGAATTCACGTTGACTACACAGGTCCTCTTCTGGATAAGATGTTCCTCGTAGTAGTCGATGCCTACTCAAAATGGCCTGAAGTGTTCCCAGTAAAGAATGCAACATCAGCAGAGACAATAGATGTTCTTCGTACTCTGTTTGCTCGTACAGGACTGCCACAACAATTGGTAAGCGATAATGGAAGTCAGTTTACCTCTGGAGAATTTCAGTGGTTCACCAAAAAGAATGGAATTAAGCACATCACTACCGTGCCATTCCATCCTGCAACAAATGGGCTCGCCGAGCGATTTGTGCAAACCTTCAAACAGTCCATGAAAGCCATGGCGAGCACCAAAATGTCCATATCAGAGAAACTGGCCAACTTCCTGCTGTCTTACCGCAACACTGACCATTCCACTACTGGTCAGGCACCTGCCGTTCTTTTTATGGGACGAACTCTCAGGTCACGCCTGGATCTCTTAAAGCCAGACCTACACCGGGACGTGTCGAGGAGACTAAGTGGCCAAATGAAGAAACAGTCGCCGACACTACGAACATTTGAAGTGGGACAATCAGTGCTTGCCAGGGACTACCGCCAAGGTAAACAGAGATGGGAATCTGGTGAGATTGTCTCTAAAACAGGACCCCTCACTTACACTGTGAAAGTGTCCCCTGGACTGATCTGGCGCAGGCACGTAGATAAGTTACTGGACAGTACGACCCGACACTCTAACCGAGTCAACACAGAGAGTGGTGCGGATGGCACCGACGACACTGAGGTGTTCCCATCCTTTGCATCAGACACACCACCTGCGATAGACACGCCTACCTCAGAGACTGTAAACCCAGCAGCGTCCCCTAGGCCTGCTCCTGAGTCACAAGACCGGCGTTATCCGGTCCGTCTCCGACTCCCGCCACAAAGATTAGATATGTAGTGTCAATGAAGTAGTTATTCAGGTTAAACCGTGTTATGTGATCAACCTGTTTGATATGGTATGATTTAAATGATATCTTTACATTGCAGTTGAAGTAAAAAAAAAAAGGGCTTCTGTATTCTACATAAGGAATGTTCGAGACTTGTTTGTGATGTACTTACATGCTAGAAAGGAAGGAGTTGTTATGTTCAAATGACCTACTGTGTTCTGTAGGTACTATATTATGCGTAGTAACATGGCACTATGTTTTCNCTGCTGCTCCTCCTCATCAAAAGGAACCAATTGAGGTGGTTCAGGCATCTGTCTAGGATGCCTCCTGGACGGCTCCAAGGGGAGGTGTTTCAGGCGTGTCCAACAGGGAGGAGGCCCTTGGGCAGACTCAGAACACGCTGGAGACATTATATCTGTTGGCTGGCCTGGGAACACCTTGGTGTTCCTCCGGTGGAGCTGGAGGAGGTGGCTGGTGAGAGGGAGGTCTGGAGATCCTCATGGATGGACCTGCACTATTCACCTCTAGCATTAAGAGTATTGTTAAATACAAAAGTTGAGGGATGAGAGATTTGTATTTTCCAATCTAAACATTTAAAATATGAAATGCTAGTTTATAATAAGAGATTCAGAAATAACTTATTCCATTGTATTACCTGAAATTAAGTTTACATAATCCAACTACAATGATTGGTGCTAATAAGCTCATCTCAACTGAGCATTTGCTCTCAGCCACACAGATCCACAATAGTTCTAGCACTGATATATGTGTGACAATATATATCATGTGACAATAGAAAAACACCTATTGTTTCATATTATAGCTAATTAGCTATCGTTTATTTTGTTGTGTTACAAATAACACTCTTATACATGGCATGGATGCAAGCAGGGAATTTGTCTGAAGGCCCTGATTGTAGCTGCCCAAACTGTAGCCATATGCGTAGCATGTCACAGCGTTTCCTGCTCTTTACTGTGCATGCTCCAATAGTTCACGGTTTTCTATTTATCTCTTTATATTTTATACTTTAATATCTTAGATTTTGTTACATGATTAATTGGATATTAATAATTGTGAAAGGTTATAAATAAAAGGAAAAAAATAAATACGATTAAGTACCTTTTATTTGTCAAGTAAATAGTTCTATGTGGTCATTTTATATAAACCATTTATTCATTGAATTTACAGAAAATGTCTTATATCGTGGTATGTATTGTTATCAGGAGAATTGGGTCATATCGCAAAGCCCTATATTTGTGTGTTATTAAATAAAACTTACCAGCTAATGGCCACAGGATGCAAATTTCATCAGTTCTGTCATGACATTAACAACATATGCTATTCACAATTCACAAAAGTTTGCCTGATCCCAAACATCCAAGGATCACGTCTTGCCATTTCCAGAGCCACTTTCCATAATGTATAGCAATCAATCTTTCCAACCAAGTGATTCGCCCAGGCTTGTCGACACATGACAGATGATGCATAAGAAATGATTCTGCTTAAGGTTGAATTAGCAATAGCCCTTGAGGGCTCTTATCCAGCTCATAGCAGATGCCCTCTGAAGCAGATCTGAGATTATGGTGAGTATAGTTTTCTTGTAATTATCCTTCCAGATATCAGTCATCGTCACCAAACTGATATTTTAATAATCACATCTCCTGATTTTCTTGTTGTTTGGTTCGTGTTTTGGATTTTGACGTTTTCCCTGCACTTCCAGTATTGACCTCTGCTTGTCTCTTAGGATTTGGATTACAGTTTGGATTAGTTCACTGACATTCAACCATGTGCCTGTATTTGGGATCTGGAATTAAACGTATTGCTTCCGCAGTTGGATTCTCTCACTCGAGTCATTACAGAATACCAACTTAAATAAAGCAATCTTGAATCTTATAGCCAACGCAGGGATCTAGTAGAAGTGAGGGCCCTACGAAACTGTCAGGAAAAGAAACTGCTTCTCCACACTACCTTGCAAAGCCAGAACACTCCCTGAGGTCAAATGCCTCCAGTAAATGCCAACAAACCGTCCGGGCCTGGTCCTATGGTCAAAACTACCTGTGCGCGTTTGTCTCTGTTATCTGGATGTCTAAGGCAAATTTAAGTAACTGGCACTGATTTACTGAGCATGTTGTTTGCAGTAGACACAATCTTTAACCATGCTTGGTGATATACTGGTATACCACCCACACTAGCCCTGTGCTGCTTGGGTTTGGGATTGGAAGTCAGACCGATAGATGGTCTTTGACCAAATAATCCACTAACAAGAAAATATTTTATTCATGATCGCAGTTTGCCCATCAGACGAAGTAAGCCACATATTTATCGAGCAATATTTGTTATTTTAAAACTGCATAAGTTAAACTATGTGCAATTTATACTGACTGTATAAGTGCACAGCTTACGGTACGTAACAGGCAGCATATATAATTCCTCAGAGAGAATCAAAGTACAGTTTTAAAGCACTTACCTGTACTGACTGCATACAGGGTTATAGTGTATGTGTTGTTCTTCACATAGTCTGACTCTCTGTCAATTACTTTAGCTGTGGTGATTTTTCCATCTTGAGGACCCACATTCACCCAGCCTGCAGGATCAGAGCCTTTCAAATACCTGTTATCAGATATATTGTAAGGATGCCACTCAGAATGTAGATCTTCTACATATTGTAATACTGTAATACTGTTAATAGCCATTAAGATAATATCATATTGATAATGTTTTTTTCTAAAAAGATTAAAATCAGATATCCCAAGTTTAAATGAGTCTAAAATATTTGATGAACATGAAGATTTGTAAGTACAGCTGACCACAGTTATGTTTTAGTTTACTGTGGACAATATTAAATAAAACTACGATAATGACAAAATGAATGTTCACCAAATTAGATTGTGTAGAATATGTTTTAAAATCATACAATATAACTATATAACAACTGAGATCATACAAATTGTCTATATTTTTAAAGTTACATTGGAAGCTTTGCATAGGACTACAATGGGAAATATTCGGGTCACAATTTCACAGAATGACTCTCTTTTATCTCTGCTATAAAAATTCAAAAGACCTGCAATATACCAACAGAAAATACTGCTACCAGTCTTACACAAAATCATCATTGAAAGTCTTGTCCTTATCCACAGCAATAAATGTTTCCAGCAGATGCCCAATCTCTGTGTTCTCCTCCACCGTGACATCTCCAAGGGGACAGACGAACTCTGGGGGGTCGTTGACATCCTCCACACTAACAGAGATCTTTTCCATGGGGGATCGGACTACACCCCCCTGCCCTGAGCTGCTGTCAAAGTAATCCACCTTCCAGGGCCCTCGAGGGGGCTGCTCCTTCACCACACATGAGAAGTATGGTGTCTCATTCTCCACACTGATGGACAGGTTCCTCACGGATCCTTCTTCAAAGTCGAGGGCCTTAGGTCACAGAGAACAGGAAATCGTTACTGAAATGTCCAACACTAGACCAGTGTTTCCCAATCCGATATATGAAACCTTTTCAAGCTCGTGGGCAAAGGTCAAAAAGTCACACTCTTGTGCATACGACCACCATGCTAAACTCTGTTTAGTAGTTTAATTGTAACAACATGGCTGAGATGAAGGTAAAGAGTGGTTGCTCACATGTGATACCGAAAACATTAGCTGTTACAATGAACCTTTTGATATGGTTCATAAACCTTCACTTTATCTGTAATTTACCAGAACAACAGAGAGGATTCCCTCGTTCGTTTCCGAGTCTGTTTCAATTTGGAAGTTCTTTCCAGTGTCTCCATGTATTGTATACTTCGCCTTCCATGCTGACGTGCCCCTACTATCTTTGTCATCTACTTGCACACGGAGAAATGTTTGTCCTGTTTCCCTTTCCTTCACTCTTCCTGTTCCCTGCAACAGAACATCAAATCAGAATGGACTCCTTGGCAGCAAGTAGCTAAATCATTCCTAGAATAATGAGGCAAAGATGTCCCAAGCCAGCATGATAGAACTTAACTACGTTACTAAACACATCTGTAACATCTGTAGTATCGGTTACTGTCAAGAACACATACTGTCATAGCTACAAAGAAGTGAATAAATGGACCTTACTGTATGACCGGTAAAAATGGGAAAGTGGTTGTTCATGTCTTCAACATTAATGATGACTTTGCATGTGCTTGAAAGAGGAGGAACTCCACGGTCTTTGGCTTCAACTATGATTGTGTATGTCTGTGCTTTCTGAAAGGAAACAAAATATTCACTCGATTACATCCCAGTGGAAATATCAGCCTTTTGAATTGTGGTAATTAAGCCATGAAGGCATGCAGTAACTTTGACTCAGAATTATACTAAATGTTTATGTATGGTGATTGTAATGCAAAAGACTTCATTCCCCTTTAAACTCTGTTATCTGAATCTAAGACACGGTATCTGTTTAAAATAATAATGATAATAATAATAATAATGTGTGTGTGTATTTATTGCCTAGATTCTGTGTACTAACCTCATAATCCAAGCATCCCTTGAATAATATTGTGCCATTTTCTATCATGTAGAACTCTGCATTTTGAGTAATGGGAGTCGTAGAAATTATTCTGTAGTCGATGGTCGAATTCGGGCTGCCTCGTTTGTCCAAGTCTCTTGCCAAAACAGTCATTACAAATGCACCTAGATTGTAAAGTACAATATAATAATGAGGCATGCATCGACATGTACCTGGAGTATTTCATACAGATTTTTAGTTATTATTAAATTGTATTTAACCTTGACGTTGTGATTCTTTAATTGTAATTGGATACTCGTCGTGCTCAAATCGGGGACGGTTGTCGTTTATGTCCGAAATGTGTATCTCTACTCCAAGTTGGGTGTCAACTGCCATATTGGACACATTTCTTGCTTTAAACTGCAGCTGTAACAACGGTTATTAAATCAAATGTAAAACTCATTCAAAATATACTTAGGTTATCAACAAATTTTTCATTTTAATACAAACAAACATATACAAGTATTATAGGAAAAGTAACCCATTTTGCATTTCTTTCAAATAATGGTTATAATTATTTTTTTTCTTACCATGAGGAGCTGAACCTGTTCATAATCAATTTTGTGATGGACTGTAATGACTCCAGTGTTCTGATCAATGCTGAGGAGTCCCTTTGGGTCCTTGTCCACACCATGGCCAGTTAGTTCGAAATTTACCTTGTACCTTCGGTCAACACTAACCTGAAAAGAATGAGAAAACACAAGGTTTGGCTTTGAAAAATAAAAAGAAACTTTGCAAAAGTTTAATTCCATGACTAATTAAAGCATGTGTTATTAAAACAGGGACATACTAAGTAGTTCATATTTGCCGTAATAACCTGCATGAACAGTTTAAGGATAAGTATTAAAAATGCTACAATGTTACTGGCTGATGGTTTGAATTCAGGCAGTGTTCAATTATGATCATAGAAGAAGTCAGGGAGAGAATGGAAGTTTCATTTGGCAACACTGAGGTGATAAGAAAATGACTGAATTAACATTTCTTGGGAAGATGGTCTATTGAATTCGTAATTACCAATGTGGGAATTAATGAATTCCTCATACATCATACAACAGCACATTGGCGACACAATGACAAATTCTATCAAAAACATGAAGCCAATGGCCACTGCCCTCAATATGTTTCTGACAGGCTGGTTTAAATTGTTTTATAGAGAGATCAAATTTGCCGAACAGGGAGCAGAAGATTGATACTTCCATTTTCCCAAGATTTTTGCCTGATGGTAGTACTACCACAGCTAAACAGCACGGACCCACATTTCATGGTGGCCTAACATTAGACTTTCACTGACTGCCTACTGGGGAACCCTGCTGTACTGGGTAAGTGGTTGTATGATGAATGGATGATATATATTTTATGTCTGTGTAAAAGAAATGTTTAAGTGCAATTTAATACAGGTGAAATAACCTGGGTAATTAATACATAAAAATGCACCAAACACAGTGAATTCCATTGATCAGCAGAAAAAAACTAAAAATATATAAATTAATGTGAGTATAGTAAAGTTGAGCTCATACTCACAGTGCCAAGGACATACGGAAAAGGACCAGGATGTTCCTCTACCATACTGAAGGAGTCGATGATCCAGCCTCTCTTGTGTCGTCTTGGGACACTTGAGGCAGCATTTGATATCCCAGAAAGCTAACGAAAACACTGTGTTATTTGAGTTGTTCCTTATTTAAAAATAGTGTATATTGATTTTGGTATTTACCTGCTTAAATATACACACAAATGTATACACATACTCCACATAATTTAATGGTCGTATGCATGTCAGTTGAAGCACCTACATTTCGTGAGGATGCTAAGAAAGGTAGCTGCTAAAATTGTTCTGTGGTTAGAAAATGTCTAAAGTATACAGAACCCAACCACTTAGCTGATTTTAATTATATTCATTAACTGTTTTAAACGTGTTCCCCGACCTCTTGATCCGGTTAAGACAAAAATGTACAGTGGCATGGGACTGTTTAAATTTTGAGAGCGATCACCCAAAACTGAAGCCACACCATTTAGTGGCAGCAAAGGGACGGAGGAAAGCAGAAGACATTTGATCTTGTGAATCTGATAAATCAAAAAGTATTTGATGCATCTTATAGATGCAGCTGTAGAAGACAATTGTAGAAGACAGTAACTATGAAAGTATTGTACGGATCTTTTCAAACTTTGCAGACGCATTGTAGGGGTGACAAACTGCACATGGTATTTGTTATGTTCAAATGACCTACTGTGTTCTGTAGGTACTATATTATGCGTAGTAACATGGCACTATGTTTTCCTATCAAGCTGCGGATTGATACCGTTCTCAATGATGTATGGAGTGTACCAGTTCAAGTGATGCTACAGTAAAAGAAAGAGTTTTGTGAACCTCCTATCCGTATGATTATTACGTTGTTGTTACGAGTAGAAAAACACAACAGTATTGACATAGATCACCTCAAAATTGAAGTAGCATTATACAGTGATAGCAAAAAAGGTACATTTGACCTGGTTAGCACAATAACTTAAAAAGTATTTTGCTGTTTGACCAGCAGGCATTGCTGGTCATCCCCGCTTTTCTCCTCTCTGTTTCATTGTCTTCAGTCCCATTGTGTTTTTCCCTGCTGCATAGCTCAATTGGCTGAGCATGAGACAGAGACTCTGGGTGTGGGTCTGTTTTGTTTGATTATTGGTTTTCTGTTTTCCCTGCTGTTTGTAACTAGTTATCTTTGTTTCCCTATTAAGCTGTGCGTTGCTTCTGTTTGGTTCGCCCCTGCTTGTACTTTTGTGCTGCGTTAATATCCTAGTGTTGTATTCCTATGTGAAGTTAAGGTTCCCTTGTTTATGATGTTTAAGTTCCCCAGTGTCTTAGCTGTGTGTTAATTCATTTCACCTGTCGCTTGCTTGTTGCCCTGTTCCTTTGTTGATTGGTTGATTGGTCATATTCTACACCTGCCCCCTCATTAGCCCGGTTGTCTTTGTGTATTTATTATGTAGTTTCTCATTTTTGGTGTTCAGTGTCCTTATGTTACTGTGTGTTATTACTTTGCTTGTTTCCCTAGTTCTGTTTTCTGTGTTGCCTGGTTACCTTGGTAAGTCTGTTTATTGTTTTGTTAGTTATGCTCTCCCCTGTTTAGTTCTGATCCCTCATGGTCCCTTTGTTTTGTAGTTTGCCCTTTCTGTTCAGTTTAGTTTAATAAACCCCTTTTTGTGTGAACTCCTCAGTGGATCGTCATCTTTTCCCTGCCTTCGCCATGCCTTGCCATGGCAGCCAGCATGATACAAATAATTTTGCTGATCTTTTCAGGCACATTCTGTGGGTGAAAATTTGGACTGGTTCAATTTTCGAGACAAATCACACCAAAACTGAAGTCATGGTGCTTAGTGACAGTAAAAAGAAGGATGAGATGATTGGATGTAAACACAATCAATTTATTTGTCATTAGTCAAGTGAGACTTTGTTGTCGTGCCAGCCCTAGACAAGTATATGGTTGTATGAGACGTCAGTCCCCCCAGACCATGATGCAACTTAAGACACTTAGGGCGTACCGTATTACACAATTACAAGGGTAAAGTGCAGATTAACACATAATGCACATGACACTATAGGACGGCAGACATACACTATATACTTGAATAGAGGACAAAGGCAAGCATAAACACATACGCAGTTCTGTATAATTTATACATTTTCTAACTAAAGAGCAATTTTAACAGTTACCTTTCTTCGAATCCTCAAGATAATAGGTGCTTGGATCAACTGAACTGCATGTCACCCCTGATTTAATAAAATACATAAGATTCGAAACTGGAACTGCAACAACAGTGGGCAGCAAAATTGGTACTGCCAGAAAAGGGCAGGAGAGAGCGAAAATGGAACTTGCAACTGCCATCTTATATATACAGATCTTTCAAGGATCGTTTAAACAGATATTCTGTGGATCTTTGTCCAGGTCGGTAATTTCAAACCTGTAGAGTGCAATATCTGAATATTCTATAGTAAAGTTTATATTGATTGTTGGTGGCTGGCCTGCCTGTTCCACAAATTTTATCCCTAGCAGTGCCAACCTCAAGCTTCACTCTCAACTGCGTGTGTCTGCCTGTCTGAGAACTGTGTAACACTGTATAAATACTGACTATTCAGTATTGACAAAGTCAGGGCATTTAATAGTGTGTAAACATTCACTATTACTTTATGGAAAACCCAGTGCATTTATTTGTTTTCAGATGTCCATATTGAATGTTAATGTACTATTATATGCATTGAGATATATCTGTAAACATTAGGTTGATTTCTTAGCTTAATTTACTGACTTGGTGTAGCAAAATATTTGCCTGAAGGATGGATGCTCCTCAGTAGCATTTTGTTTTGTAGGACTTCTTTATAGAAGTCTCTTTGGCATGGTTAATTTGTGAGATTCACAGCATGGATTAGCATTCTCGTCTCCTAGTATATTTTTTAGCATCCTGGGAATCATGGGCAGATCTAAGGGGTGGCTACCCCTGTTACTGTCACGCCCCGCTCCGTCTGCTCCCGATGTGTGCCACGCCTACCTCATTACCTCGTGTGATTCCCTGATTGTTCTCACCTGTGATTCGTTACCCTTAGCCTGTCTCTTGTATTTAGTCCGTGTCTAAGTCAGTGTACCCCAGATCTGTCATTGTATTGTCCGTGGATGTCCGTGCCTGTTCGTCGTATCGTCTAATAAAACCCTTTTACCGGACTTCCTGGCTGCTCTCGCCTGCTTCCCTGCTCGCCTCCAAGCCGAACGTGACAGAATGACAGATCTCTTCGAAAGCACGGCGCGGCAGACCGAGCACCAGAGGCTTGGTCTGCTGCAAGAGGCTGTGTACTGGCTCTCCCAACCCGAAGTGCTGGAGGATCCTGTGGCCCTGGAGCTGGCCACCCGGGGCGCGGACCTCCTCACCGAGGAGCGCCCACCCGGACAGCAGTACCCACTCAAGCGGGTACGCAAATGCTTACGCCGCCTGCATGAGCATCTCACGCGGCGGAGAGACGAACGTGTTGCCTGGAGCATGGGCGACGTGTTCGCAACGGCTCCGCCTTCTGCCGCCCGCGGAGAGAAGAAGCGGGGAAAGAAGGCTGAAACGCTGCAGGAAGAGACCCCGACTCTCTTCCTGGGAGCCTGCACTCTGCTCCCCGCCTCTGGGAGTTAGCCAGGGAGCACGAGGGCTCACCGCTCCCCTGGGATGACTTCGCCGCTACCCGCCTGCTCGGTCTCCACAGTGAGATGCCGCCTCCGCTGGAGGCATATCCATACCGGCCGGAGCGTCTGGGGCACGGCGGCATACGCGCCGTAAGAGACGCTATACCACGGGTCTCTAAAGCCCTTAAAGGGCCAGCGCCTAGTCGCTCGGCTCCCCTCCTGACGCCCGTTCCGGACCTGCCAGCGGTTACACCTGCTGCTGCTGCTGCCGCCGCTCTGCCCGCGGCACCGCCTGCTGCTGCTGCCGCCGCTCTGCCCGCGGCACCGCCTGCTGCTGCTGCCGCCGCTCTGCCCACGGCACCGCCTGCTGCTGCCGCCACTCTGCCCGTGGCAATGCCTGCTGCTGCTGCTGCCGCCGCTCTGCCTGCGGCAATGCCTGCTGCTGCTGCTGCCGCCGCTCTGCCTGCGGCAATGCCTGCTGTTGCTGCTGCCGCCGCACTGCCCGCGGCACTGCCTGACCCGCCTGTCCTGCCTGACCCGCCTGTTCTGCCAGCAGTCCCTGCAGCTGCCACCGCTCTGCCTGTGGCACTGCCTGCGGTGGCCGCGGTTGCGCCCCCTGCTGGCCGCGTGATGGCGGCACCCGCTGCGGCGCCCCCTGCTGGCCGCACGCCTGAGGTGCCCGAGGTGCCTGCTGAGGCGCTCCCTTCTGACTTGCCTGTCTCGCCTGTCCTGCCGGCACTTGATCTGCCTGTCTCGCCTGTCCTGCCGGCACTTGATCTGCCTGTCTCGCCTGTCCTGCCGGCGCTTGATCTGCCTGTCTCGCCTCTCCTGCCGGTGCCTGAACTGCCCGAGGTGGCCGCGTTTGCGCCCCCTGCTGGCCGTGTGATGGAGACGCCCGCTGCGGCGCCCCCTGCTGGCCACATTATGGTGGTGCCCGCTGTGGTGCCCCCTGCTGGCCGCGTGATGGCGGCGCCCGCCGCGGCGCCCCCTACTGGCCAGGAAGTGGTAGCGCACGCTGCAGCCCTGCCCCAGGTCCTGGCTTCACCTCAGCCTGCAGCTGAGGACACCGCTCTGCCTGCGGCACCCACCGAGGCGCCCCCTGCTGGCCAAGTGACTGAGGCACCCCCCATGGCGCCCCCTGATGGCCAAGTAATGGCGGCCCTGCCTGAGGCCGTCTCTCCCGTCCTGCCCGCGGCCCTGCCTAAGGCCGTCTCTCCCGTCCTGCCCGCGGCCCTGCCTGAGGCCGCCTCTCCCATCCTGCCCGCGGCTCTGGCTGCCCCGCCTGCAGCCACGCCCCCTGTCTTGCCCGAGCCTCCACCCTCGGGGGCCTCCCTCATGACTCCTTTGCCCTTGCCCCGACAAGACCGATGCCACACGGGACCCCGCCTTTCGGTGTCCCATAAGGGAAGGGGACACAGGCGTCGGGCCCGGGTCCCGCCCGCCCTGCCCCCTGGCTCGCCCGTTCGGCCCCTGGCTGTGGCTCGGTGGCTGCCTGCG